ATTGTGTAGATGACCAACCTTTGTTAAGGATGCTTGGCCCGGCAGTCAACCTCCGGTTGTCCGGTGAGTTCTCCTCCCCGAGGAGAAGCTGACGAGCAGTGTTATTTCAAGGTAAGCGCCGATGAATATTTCTCAGTGACAGGCCACTACACGCTGGACAACGCCATCTTGTAATTTTCCTCTTATCGCCGACCCTCGGAGCGAATCGGATGGTTCCTCCGGGACAGGCGCGCTCAGTTGCAGCCCCCCACTGCTCATTCCCTCCTGGAGAGCGTAGTGTCGGTGGAGGGGGGCTGAGTGAATGCTCACCCCATCCCACCTCGTTTCGCATCGGCGATCACACCACTCCCAGCCGACGGCGCCCTCAGGGGTTGCCCGGCGTAACCCAGGAGGCGGCTGACATGAAGGGACCCCTTTTCTACGTCCCACGCCTTTTCCCGCCAGTTCGGATGATCTGGCGGGAAGGTTGTTTACTGGGTTCCATTCCGGCTCACCGTCTTGATCCATATGGCCTCGTGTTCCAACAGGACGTCCTACGGGCGAGGCCACAGACGGTTCTTTCCTGGTAGATTGGGGGAGCCGGTCTCCACAGTCCGCACCCATCACCAGAGTGGAGGGGTTCACCGAGCGTGGCTATCCCTCGGTACCTCCCCTTGAGCCAAGCCTCGCAGAAGCTTTCGGAGTGAAGCTGTCCAGGTTGGAGCAGCATCCCGTCCCTCCTGGGAAACACGACCAGACGGTGACCACGCTCTCCAATCGAGCCTATCAATGTGCTTTTCAGGCAGCCGCAGCTAACAACAACGTGGCGCTGCTAGCATATAGCATGTCCAAGAGGCTGGAGGCCGCAGACCTGCCTGAGGAGACAAATAGCTCCCTCTGTAAGGCAGCTGATGCCATCCTCAATATGTGTGCCTCTTCTATGGTTTGCCTGTCCAGGATTGCAGCGTGGATGACGATGATTCAACGATCCACCTAGCTCCGTCACTCCCCCCCCGCTGCCGGAGAAACTGCTCAAAGACTTGATGGAGGGCGCCATCACGGCGGACGCGCTGTTCGGGAGCAACTTCAAAAGCCATGCTGGCGAATTCGAAGCAGTCGGAGGAGGTGTCAGAGGCTGTGCGCCACCTCATCAAGCCACGCGGCTCATCCCGCCCCCCGGCCCGCTGGAGAGACCATCGTGAGCAGAGGCAGAAGCAACGACGTTCCACGGCCGCGACGGCGTCGTCTCGCTCAGCTCCACCACCAGCCCCGCCCGTCAGAGACCAGCCCTCTTCATCCCGGCAACCAGCAGTTCAGCGTTTCCCCAGAGATTGCCTGCAGACGGTGCTCTAGGCAAACAAATCGCAGAGCTCAAGGGGGAGAAGATTTAAAAAATGACGGTCTGCGGAGGGTGTGTGTAAGTGACACGAAAGTTGAAATAAATTATCTTTCAAGGATCAAGTGTCTGTTTCTAGCCAGTCTGTAAGCTCGGATGAACTCACAGCGGCTGCACACACATCCTCCACACATAACGAGCCGGTGTCCTTAAATAAAGGTTTTTTAAACTCACCGTCGCTCCAAGACATGACGAGACGCTCACACGACACGATGGTAAGCGAAATAACTCGTTGTCAACCCGAGCTGCATGATCCTCACCCAAGCGGTGTCAAACGCGCACTCGTGCGATGCAAACAGCCTTCATCCAAACGGCACTGCGCTGATGATGGCGCACACACAGCTCCCCGGCGCTCACCGGCTCACATCGGTATAAATGTGGGACCGCAGGCCGGGTCCGGTGAAGGTCCTCGTTCTCAGCAAGAGCAACACACGCTTCACTGAAGCAAACGCGTGCGGCCGCGACGGGGGCAGCCTTCACCCACCGCGTCTCAGTGCTCGGCCGCTCACGGCAGCATAAGCATGAGACAGCTGAACGAACACGGTGACAAGTCTCGCCTCCAGCGAGAGTGGCGCGCGTCCCTCCAGTGAGAGCGGCGCGTTTCCCTCCAGAGAAAACGTGTGCTCCCGCCGGGCTCGCAGCCTTCACTCCAACAGCACGGCGTAGATGAAGTCACTCTCTCCGCCTCTCAGCGTTCGCACAGCAACGTTGAACGCGCGGCCCCACGGCGTCATCAGCTGTCACATGCTTCGCCTCAGCACACACCAGCCCACCTGTACATGAAGGTTGGTCCACGGTCCGAACGCAGCGCACGGGCGCGTTCAGAGCCTTTTCTAGGAAGCCTCGCCTTGGGTCACACGGAAAACATTCCCGCGACACATGACGGCGGTCGAGGCGGCGGACTGGATGACATCCGTGCAAAACATGACGCATCACTTAAACGCACATCCACTCCACGAACGTTATGCAGAGTGGCTAAAAACATGCTCGCCAGACAGATGGATGGACAGGGTGTTATGCAAAGGTTACACATTACAGTTTGCAACCCGACCCCCTCCGTTCGGAGGAGTTTTAGAGACGGTGCTGTCATCACCAGACCAAATCTCATCCCTAAATGCAGAAGTCCAAGAGCTTCTGATAAAAGAAGTAATCTCCAGGGTTCCCAACGGAGAGGAAAACACAGGGTTTTACTCACGTTATTTCCTGGTTCCCAAACGGATCGGAGGGATGAGACCGATTTTGGATCTGTCAGCTTTCAACAAGGCTATCATGGACAGACCGTTTCACATGTTGACAACCAGACAGCTGTTGGACAACATCCAGAGAAACGACTGGTTTGTTTTCCGTCGACCTAAAAGATGCTTATTTTCACACACTACCTTGTCTGACCACAACAACAACTTGTTCCTGTCTCTGGCTAGGAGGTTCCCATACCATGAGACAATATTAAATTAAACACTTTCAACCAGTGACCTGTACACCAACTGCAAAGTAATTTTGTTTGCATTAAAGCTCCTTAGCTTATACAGAAGGTGGAGACTCTGTCTGACATTTTGAAAAATATAGTCGGTGTTGGGCTCAAAGGTCAACTTGTTGTCAATTATTGTTCCAAGGTATTTAAAATCAGTCACCTGTTCTACGTCCTGCTCTTTTATAATAGAAGGCCTAAAAGTAGGTCTGGTGCTGGCTGCTCCCCATCTACCTCCCAAACAAAGTCCCTTGCTTTTACTGACATTAAGGGCCAGAAAACTGTCATCAAACCAGATAGTGTGTTGGGTTGTCTAAATGATTATGGACCTTGTTGAGGAGGGAGAGAGTGGCATCCTCCACCCCTCGGTTAGTCCTATATGCAAACTGCAAAGGGTCCATATGCTCAGCTGTAACAGACATGAGTTCTCTGATCACTAAGTGCTCCATACATTTGCATAATACAGATGTGAGGGCAACTGGTCTGAAATCATTCAGTGCCTTTGCATGTGTTATTTTGGGCACCTGGACAATGGTTGACATTTTCCATGCTTGTGGGACAAAGCTAGTGTTAAGAAACAACTCAAATATCTGTTTGAACACAGGACCCAGCTGTGTGGCACATTCTTTTAATACCCTTCCCTTAATCCCATCTGGCCCAGCTGCTTTATGAGGATTGATGTTCTGAAAATTTGAAATGACCTCTTTCTCCTGTAACTCCACAGGAGTTGGTGTCAAGGCTGCACA